AGCATGGAAACGAAGAGCGACCTTCACCTGGGATGAAGCTGGCAGTGGAGGAGGCTGGCACTGGGAGGCTGAAGAGCCGGAGTTCGGCTTTGGGCAGCTGGTGTTTGACAGGTGCGATAGAGAGGAGCCAGTGGCAGCAGGTTTCTGCTGACAAGAGGGGGCGGCCAGGCTCTCTTGGAACTTTGAATGACCGTGCCCATTTTACGGAGAAGGAAAATGAAGTTCCTACAAGCAGAGACACACTTGTTAAGTTGGGGACAGTCAGTTCCCTGGCTCCAAACCACATGCTGTTCCCATCGCCCTGGACCTTAGTCAGGGAGCCGCCGGCTGTCCTGTCCCACCCTCATGTCCACGTCCTGCCGTGGGGTCAGCGGCGGGAAGCCCAGCACTGCCCTGGCTGGCTTCCTCATCTCCAGGGCTGGGCGGTGCTGGGGTGGGGGATGCCCACCAAGAAGTGGCCTGTGTTTGGGTGCAGTAGAGTGGACGGTGCCAAGCGGCCTGGGGCGCCGGTAGCCCTGTGAGTACTGCCGGCCTGGCCCGAGGCCATCATCCGACCAGCAGAGCCATTTGGTTAGCATCGATTGGCTGAGAGAGGAGCTTCTGGCAAGGCTGGGCAGGGGGAGGGGAGAACTCCGACCTGCTCCGGGAGAGGCAGGCTGCGGAGTCAGGCAGCTTGGCCACCAGGTTGGTGAGTCTCCAAACCTCAGAGAGCCCCCCCACAGCTGCTGGGGCCCACAGGGATGTCAGCCCACAGGGAGACGTAGAGAAAAGCAGTGCCTTAGGAGCCGGCGGGCGCCAGACTCAGGTGGAGTGAGGCCCGGAGCCTTGGGACAAGGCAGGCTGCCAGCCCACGCCACTGCCCTGCTCACCACCTGTAGGCCTTGGCCGGGGCTTCCCTCCGTGTGCTGTTTCCTCCTCTGAATGGTACAGCACCCATGGGAATATAGAGAGGAGGATTCTATGTAAAGAATCTGGCGGTGCAGAGGGCCTGGCCCCTTCCCAGGGTGGAGGCCATGCTGGCGACCCGGCCCAGTATTGGAGCAGGGGCCCCGTCAATGCTGTTTCTGGTGGGGAGCTGTCTTCCCACCCCAATGAGCTGGCGCTATAGCCTGCTTGGAGGGTCTATACTCTCGGAGGCGAAAGAGGGAGGCTGGGCTAAGATGGGCGTCCCTCCTGCTTTCCTACCACAGTGCCTTTGCATATGTTATGCCCACAGCTTGGCATGTCTTTGCCATCCACCCCACTGGGACCAACTCTGACACAGCTGTTCTAAGCACATCCGAGGGCTGCTGAGTAAATGCCCAGCCATGTGCAGGCCACTGACCCCTGTCCCCACAGCTCCCTGCCCTACAGGGGAGAGGTTTGGGTATCTGCCGGACAGAGGATGTGAAGACAGTACCGTCTCTCCTTTACCATGGGTGCTATATGCTGGCAGGGGAGCAGAGGGCTTCGTGGAGGAGGCAGGAGGGGTCTTCCCTGAGCTCCCCTACCCACCCACTCACCCATAAACCCAGTTGCCTATTAGGATAAGGTATTGTGAGAGCCCCCTGTTAAGTCCCATTCCCAGTCCCCTCCCTACCCCGGCACCTTGGACACTCCAGGACTCTGACAGCAATTGTTGAGTGGCAGGAGGAGTGAATGAGCCTGTGGAGACACAGGGACGTGGGGGCCTGGAGATTTGGCGAGTGGAGCAGGAGGGCAGGAGGGCAGCCCGAGAGGGCGCCGTGGAGGCAGGGAGGGCCGGGCTGGCCGAGAAAGCCCTGCCCTCCTGGGAGGGCGCACAGGAGGCTGAGGGGAGGGGACACAGTTCTTCCACAGAGGCTCAGATCCCTGCTAATTTACAATCTTAAAAAGCACAGCGGGCCCTCCCTGGTGGCGCAGCGGGTTAAAGCACAGCACTGAGAAGCTAAAGCCACTTCCGCATGAGTTCGATTCCCACCTGCCCCGGAGGAGACCACATGGCGTGGCAGACCTCTCCTGACCCGCCCGCTGCTCCCCTCAGCAGTGTACTTCATCCATCTGCCTGTTCTGCTCCCCACTCTGTCTCTGGTGAAGCCTCTCACCGCCCCTGAACCTCTGGCCTGCACCCCAGTTCTGTACGCACAAATAAATAAATCTTTAAAAAAAAAAAAAAAAGCACAGCGAAGGCCCAGGCCTAGTGTTAGGACCTTGATCAGCAACCAGCGGGTCAGGGCTCCCTTGGCTGCTTGCAGGAGGAGCAGACAGGTTTCTTTCTCCCTAAAAAGAAGGACTGGGGCACCCCCAGGTAGGGGGGTAGGGGGCAGAGGTGGGTGGTGTTGGCTAGGACAGGTCCGGGCCTTGGAGGACCGGCTTCTAAGCTGGACATTCAGACGCAGCTGGAACCCACCCCAGGCCTGGGTGCCCTGGCCTGTGAGCAATGCTGAAGGATGGGCGGCCCCAAGCCTCAGCTGGGGGTTTCAGCCCCCTTTGGGTCCCCTTCCTGGGGTCCACTTCCACTCCACCCTGCTCTCTGGCCCTCCCACCTGCCAAAGTGTCTTTACATGCTTGCCAGTCCACACCTAGATTTTTGGGCAGTTGTTTTTCCCTACACAGGTCTTTGTCTGGGTTCCCCTCTGCCCCCACATCCCCTAAGGGCACCTGCTTTTCTGCTTGAGGGGGTTCCTCTTCATAGAGAGCCCCCAGCTTCTCTGGGGTTCACTTCAGAAAATCCCCTTCCAGGGCCTTTTGGAGACAAAGCCATAGTAGCAGACAGAAGGGCTTTCTTCCCCTTCTGCTCCCCCCAGGGCAGGGGGCAGGGGGCCCCCCCTCACACCGCCTCCCCACAAAGGGTAGTTCTGAGGATCAGAGGAGCTTGAGCAGAAGCACTTTGTAAACTCTGTAAGCTGCACAAATGTCGAGTGGTATTAGCACTGAGCCACACGGCTGCCCGCCCCACCGTGAGCGGTTCCCAGCTGCCAGACTCAAGGGAAAGAAAAGCCTTTGTCTTTGCAGGACCCACAGGGGGTGTCTGGTGTGCCACTGTGAGTCCTTGCCCTGCTGTGGCCTTGCCCCTGGCTGGCGTAATGGCACAGTGAAAACCCTTGAGCTAGGAGAGGCACCCTGGGCTCCCTCAAAGGGCCAGGCTGGGGGCCTCCTCCCTGTGACAGTTTTGGGGCAGATGTCAGCCTGAGCAGGGGCGAAGAGTGACAGCAGAGGCGGGGAGGGACGTGTGGGCCAGAGAGGACAGGACCCACCTCCCAGTCCGGGATGTTGGAGACAAGGAGCAAGCAGACTCCCCTAGTCAATGGATTTGGGGTGTAGGCTTGCCTTCCAGTGGGGCTGGGTGCCCCCGGCCAGCCTGACTAGTCAGGGGAGCTAGCGATCAGTCCCTGACTTCCACTGGGGAGGTGTCATTTCCTATAGAGAGGGAAACTGGGGTCTCAGGGCTGTCCTGGGTTAGGGTGACGGAAGGCACCCCAGGGGCTGCTTAAAGTGCGGCCTGACCCTGTCAGGGTCCTCACAGCTGCACTGCCACGCTGCCACCACCGCGGAGGTCATAATTGCTCTGAAATCGCAACTGAACCAATTATGCAAAAACCAAATTATGTACGATGATTTTTATGTGTTGGAAACGTTCGATCGAAGCCTGGTGATTACAGGGGGACGGGAAGCAGCTGCCACTCTCTGGGAGCCCATAACTCCCAACAGCTGGGAGCCGTCACTTATTGACAGCGCTGATTCTGCCAGGACGAGGGGGGTGGCCGTGCGCGGAGGCCCACACGGCCAGGGCCCCGCTGGCTGGGCGTCCCAGGAGTGGCCGGAGGCGTGGTGCACTCATTCTCCTTGCTCTGGCTGCAGCTGGCAGCAGAAAGAATCAGCCAAGCTGCCCCAGGCCACTGGCTCTCCCTGAGAGGCCCAGCTGGACAAACTGGAAGGGGAGGGGCAGGAGGCCAACCCTGTCGGGGAAGAGACGGCTGCCTGACCCTGCAGGATGGGGGGGTCACAGGCCTGGAGCCGGTCCCCCCACCACCGGCGCGCCTGCCGGGCTGCCGGGGGCAGCGGCAGCCCTGGAAAAAGGCAGGTAATGACGGTCGTCATAATGAGGCTGCTCCGATAATGAGCACGGGGCTGTTACCGACCACAGGCTGGACACATCCGAAAATAAATTATTTTAAGATTCCATTAACGAATGCCTAATTAATGCCCAATTAGAGAGACACTACAGAGGAAATACTCTGGACAGTCCAGAGGAGAGGCCTGGTTTGCAGCCTCACAGCCTGGGAGCTAGAGTGAGCTGGGGAGGGGACGGGGGAGGAGCCCCCAGGGTGGACTGGGATGGGGGGACAGCCTCAGTCTGGCGGCAGTGTGGGCCCCAGAGCCCAGCAGCCTGGCGCCTCCCTGCACTTCCCTACATGTCCTCACCCGGCAGCCTCACAGCTCTGCAAGAGACCCCGTTACTGTTTAGAAAGGGGCATGGTGTTGGGCACAAAAAGGCCCCACAAATGAGATTCCTTTTGAGGTGAAATTTGGGGTCGTGCACACGCTTCACTCACCAAGTGGAGTGATTTAAATAGAGACTCCTTGGGACTCCAGAGAAGATTCACTGCACTTTGTTAGAACAGAAGCCTGACCCCCACTATCTGTTCACACTGATAACAGAGATAAGGGCAGAGCTGGGACAAAAACTAGGGGTGTCTGTGTCCATGGGTGTGGCCCTCACCCAGCGTGGCTGAGAGAGCCTGAGAGAGTGGGGCTCAGCAGCTGAGGGGCAGGTTAGGGGGGTCTTAGGATGGGACTAAGGTATATAGGGGTGATCAGGGCTCACAGCCCAGGCTGGGGTGGAACCCCCCGTGGGGGGCCGGGCGCGGGCCCCACCCCTGTCTTCTCACCAGGAGCCAGGCTGTCAGGGGGCCACCACCCCAGACCGTTGGTCCCTGCGAGCTGAGGCAGGTGAGGTGCCCCCCACCCTGCACCCCGCAGCCGCCTGCCTCCCACCTCCCCGGACAGCCCCTCACCTGGCTGTGCTCTCTCCCCACCAGGGTGCTGTGTGGAGCTGCTGCTGCTGCTGCTGGCCGGGGAGCTGCCCTTGGGCCGCGGCTGCCCGCGGGACTGCGTGTGCTACCCGGCGCCCATGACGGTCAGCTGCCAGGCGCACAACTTTGCGGCCATCCCCGAGGGCATCCCGGAGGACAGTGAGCGCATCTTCCTGCAGAACAACCGCATCAGCCTCCTGCAGCCGGGCCGCTTCAGCCCCGCCATGGTCACCCTGTGGATCTACTCCAATAATATCACCTTCATCGACCCCAACACCTTCGAGGGCTTCGTGCACCTGGAGGAGCTGGACCTTGGCGACAACCGGCAGCTGAGGACCCTGGCGCCCGAGACCTTCCAGGGCCTGGTGAGACTCCACGCCCTCTACCTCTATAAGTGTGGGCTCAGTGCCCTGCCGGCGGGCATCTTCGGTGGCCTGCACAGCCTGCAGTACCTCTACCTGCAGGACAACCACATCGAGTACCTCCAGGACGACATCTTTGTGGACCTGGTCAACCTCAGCCACCTGTTTCTTCACGGCAACAAGCTGTGGAGCCTGGGCCAGGACACCTTCCGCGGCCTGGTGAACCTGGACCGGCTCCTGCTGCACGAGAACCAGCTGCAGTGGGTCCACCACAAGGCTTTCCACGACCTCCGCAGGCTGACCACCCTCTTCCTCTTCAACAACAGCCTCACCGAGCTGCAGGGCGACTGCCTGGCACCCCTGGGGGCCCTGGAGTTCCTCCGTCTCAACGGGAACGCCTGGGACTGTGGCTGCCGGGCGCGCTCCCTGTGGGAATGGCTGCGGAGGTTCCGCGGCTCCAGCTCCGCTGTCCCCTGTGTGTCCCCTGAGCTGAGGCAGGGCCAGGACCTGAAGCTCCTGAGGGCCGAGGACTTCCGGAACTGCACCGGGCCAGTGTCCCCTCACCAGATCAAGTCACACACGCTCACCACCACCGACAGGGCCGCCCGCAAGGAGCACCACCCAGCCCACGGCTCCACCAGGGACAAGGGCCACCCCCACGGCCATCTGCCCGGCTCCCGGCCAGGCCACAGGAAGCCAGGCAAGAACTGCACCAGCCACAGGAATCGCAACCAGGTCTCGAAGGCGGGATCCGGGAAGCAGGCCCACGAGCTGCAGGACTACCCTCCCGATTACCAGCAGAAGTTCAGCTTTGACATCATGCCCACAGCACGGCCCAAGAGGAAGGGCAAGTGTGCCCGCAGGACCCCCATCCGTGCCCCCAGCGGGGTGCAGCAGGCCTCTGCGGGCAGTTCCCTGGGGGCCTCGCTCCTGGCCTGGATACTGGGGCTGGCGGTCACTCTCCGCTGAGGGCCAGGACACCAACACCCAGCACTGCCACGTGTCCGCCGCGGAACAGAGTTTCTTTTCTTTTTTTACGAGTGGAGGATCTGCTGGGCTTCAGGCAAAGGCTGGTAGAGGCTTTGGTTGCTGTCCGGGCCCTGCCCGGTGGATTATAAACCCAAAAGTGTACAGCCCCGAGGGGGATGGAACCAGCCCCTTTCACCCAGCCACTCCAGCCAGCCCCTCCCAGCACCCACGGACGCCTCCCATCCAGCAAGGCGGCTACAGCGAATCCTTCATTAGCAACGGTGGGGAGGGGCCTCTCGGGAGCTGGGGTCTGTGGAGCCCTGGTCTCTTGGAGAGGCCCCGAGGGCCCCTGCCATTCCTGGAGAAAGCAGGACTCAGAGGGGGACAGGCGAGGCTCACCCGGGAGGCTGGGCCGCCCAGCCGGCCAGGGGCGCGCTCAGCAGGTGGCATTCTGGCTCTCGCTGGAGGTCACTTAGTCAACCTGCCCTGGATCCTTCCATGTGCCACCTTCAGTCCCTCCCTCAGGGGTAACACCGCTCATTCCTGATGTCTCAGGCAGCCCTGGCAGACCCAGGCCCAGCTGCGGGGCTCCAAGAACCAACTACCAAAGGAAAGATCATCAGAGGCTGAAATTTAGAACTTCACGGTGGAATGAAGTTCTCACAGAAGGTGCCGTTTTATAATTATGTCCACTTATATATATATATACACACACACACACACTCCACATCTATATATATACACACACACAATGCACAGCCGCCCACCCCCACTCCGTACCAAACTGTATGTCTTCTCATGTTTATAAACTATACAGAAAACTATATCTGCTGAACTAAGGATTGTACTGGTGATTTCTAGCAAAAAAAAAAAAAAAGAACTATAGGATTTTTGTCTAGAATCCAAACCTGGCAAGGACTGTCCTCATGTAATCTGGGGTGGCCAGGGGCCTGAGGCAGTGTCAGTGGGGAGAGTCAGGGAGAAGGGGAGGCAGCAAGAAGCACTTTAGGGAACCAATATTAGGCACGTAGAGCATCACCTTGTTTTTGTTCCCAAGACGAGCCGAGTGCCGCCTGGAGCCCTCCATCACTCCGACTACGGCAGCTGTGGTTCTCAGGGCCGAGAAGCGGCTTGCTGGGCCTCAGGGAGCCAGACCTGGAGGTGGGCGGGATGGAGACAAGGAAGGAAGGGGCTCTGGAGTTCTTAGGCCGACGGGCGAGGCAGCACCCACAGTGTTAGTCCAACAGGTCATCAGTCGAGCGCTTTGCCAGCGACGATCTGGACAGGCCCCGGAGGCTCTGGCGTGGACCCAGGCCTCCAGCACAGCTCAGCTGCTGAGTTCTTCCTTGAGGCTCTTGGATGGGTGTCCGGTAGCAAAGGCCCTGCGTGGGGAGGCGGGAGAGATTGCTCCTGGTGGCCTCAGCAGAAGGGGGGAAATGAGGGCGTTCCAAGCAGCATCTCAGGCATTTCTGCGTCATGGAGGCGCTGGCCCTCCTGGCCTTCCTGAAGATGTCTAAGGGCGGAGAGGCCGGGGCCAGACTCTGGGCTCCCAAGTGGGGACGTGCAGGGAACGGAACAGGCACACCCAGCCAGGGAACAGGGTGCTCGGTCCAGTTGGGCTCTGCTGCTGGCTGGGGCCCGGGCAGACACAAGCACCTTTGTGTTTTGCACAAACATGAATTCCCCACCAGAGAGATGTGTGTGAGGAGTAAGAAACGCTGATTTCAATTAAGAGAGAAAAATAATAATAAAAAAAATTCTCTTGGACAAGACTCCCGTTTCTCATTTCCTAACCCCGTGTTCCCGAGGGGCGGCAGATCTGGAGGCCGCTCAGGGTGGGCGAGCCTGGCCGGCACCGCTCCGAGGACACAGCGTATTTGTAGGTGGGAGGAGCCGTGTGGGGCAGCTCACTCTGACGCACTGGGACTCGCGTGCCCGTGCACACGCTGGTGCAGGCATTTGCACATGCGCACGTGTGCACACACGCGTCTCCGCGCTGTGACTCTCCCCTCACCCGCGCACAGCATGACTCACTTCCCACACGCCGGCTGCGCTGGGACGGTACCACCTCTGTGCCTTTCGCTAGAGCAGCAGGACCTGGATCCTGTCTCCAGGAGCCTCAGCAGCAGCTACCGAGCTGCTGACTTGTAGGTCTGTGGGGTGGCCGGAAGGGAAATGCTGGTTTCTGGGGCCAGGAGGCCGCAGACGCTTGCCCGGTGTCAGAGAAAGGCAAGAGTTCCCAGATGGGAGGAGGAGGCAGCGCTTTCAGGCCTGACTGAGCAAGTCCTCCGTGCAAGACTTGAAATGTCCACTAAAGGGAGTCCAGGGACGGCAGAACAAATCGTCTTTGGCCTGCAGTTGCTCCCGACGGTCGCCCATCTCGCCCGGGGCCGGGGCCGGCTCGCAGCGGTCTCTACAGTCCCCGAGAACCCGAGGTCGTTGTTATGTCGTTGATTTCACTTCCAATTTTAGACAGCCGAGCCCTCAGCGGGAAAATCAAGAGTCCAAACACTTTATTAAATTTTTTTTAAAAAAGACTTAGTAGGTCTTGTAATATGGAAGTGGAATGTCAGTATGAGAAATGCTAATGTTTCCTAAATGATCCCTCCCATCATTTGCAGCAGTCTCTGGCTGCTGACTGTTCTTACAGGCGAGGCCCAGGGGCCCAGGACACTAGGTGTATTTTTTTTAAAGGTTTATTTATGCATACAGAACTGGGGTACAGGCCAGAGGTGCAGGGGCAGTGAGAGGATTCACCAGGGGCTGAAACTACCCCTCTGTTCCTGATGGGGTCAGCCCTTCGCCATCTTTGTTCAGCACTTTCGCTAGGACCAGGGAGGAAGCTCACCTCTCTCCCCCTCTCTCCCCTGCAGCCACAGCCCACCACTCTGGGGGTAGCCTCGGCAGGGGCTGGGTGGTCACTGGTGGTCTCGCACTCTCTCCATACAGGTGACTCCCTACCCTTCATCCAACAAGTGCTGCCCAAGGGCCTGCCTCTGCCAGTCATGGTCCAGCCTCCAGAGACATAAATGTGAAAAGTCATGGCTCTCCCCCAAGGAGGTCAGGCCACAGCTGTGGATATAGGTGTGAGATCGGTAAAGTCAGTGTGGAGCTGGTGTCCCTACTAGCTTTCTTAACACCCAGAATGAGGGAGGGCGTCCAGGGGGAGGTGATACTTAAATGGCTCTTAGAAGATAAGGGGGTGGCCAGAGAAGCGCATGGGGACCGTTCCATGTAGAGGGCTGGAGGTAGGCAGTAGTCCCACTTTTGGGGTATCTGTAAGATCTGTGAATTGAGGACCAGGAACATTGGCGAGGTAAGGGAGGAGAGTCTGGCAAGGGGAAAGCCCAGGCTTCAGGGGCTTGGCCTCTACTCTGGAAGTATGGATGTGACACCCCTTTAGGGTCCTCTTCCCTACCCCACACACCCAGCCTTTGTCTGAGCACGTGGTCCCCACCAGTGGCATGCTTGCCAGTGTGCATTAATTGTGGGTTTCATCATTGTAACTTGCCTCTTCTGCTCAGCCAGATCCTCTCTCGTGCCAGCAAGTTGGAGCGTTCCCTGGAAATGTGCCTGGCCGGAGTCCCATTCCCAGACACCTGCTGCTTCCAAGCTCGGAGAGGGTCCCACAGCATTTTCGTCTCCCACGCACCCTCCTTTCTCATCCACATGGGCTCTGCCCTTAGCCCCTTTCCTGGCTCTCCACATAGCTGCCCAGACACCCCCTCAGCCATGTGCACTGACCATCCGCAATCCCCAGAACCTCCCCCAGCCTCGTCCCCCCTTCTCTTCTGCTAAGGCTGTTCTTTACCAGGGAGCCAAGCATCCCATTTAGCAAATGTTTACTCATCACCTAACTAATCACCAGGCACATGGCAAATGGGGTTCTAGAAGCTCTGCTGGCAGACTTGAGGAGGTCTGGGGGGCCAGGAAGCCTTTTTGGAGGAAAATCTGCAAGGCCTGGGGTCACAGAGAATAAGTTTGCTGGGAGGGCCCCCTGGAGCTGGCTGAGCCTCGGGACCTCAGCAGCTTGAGACAAACCTCCCTCCTATTCCCGCCAGCCCCCAAACCCCAGGCCCCAGCTGTCCCCACCTTTGGGACCCAGCTCCTTGGAGCCTTCTGAACTTAGACCCAGGGGACACCAGCCTTTCTCTGGCATGCTCTTTGAGTCACTGGGGACGTGGACATGCCGATGGGCCCCAGCCAGCATCTGTTGTGAAGACTCCTGACCAGCCAGGTTGCTCTGGCTCATCCCCCAGGCCGGCCCCCCGCCTCACCTCTGAGTCGGAATTCAGCCGCGCCTCCCTTCTGTGTCACCATCTCCCACTGTCAGCTTGTAATGGGCCAATTTTCTTTTACCTTCTGTCTACTTGGAAAATATTTCAAGAACTCTGATTGTGTGTTAAAATATCCTTTACAGGCCCTCCCTGGTGGCGCAGTGGGTTAAAGCACAGCATTGAGAAGGTAAAGCCACTTCCGCATGAGTTCGATCCCCGCCTGCCCCGGAGGTGACCACATGGCGCGGCAGACCTCTCCTGGCCCGCCCGCTGCTCCCCTCAGCAGTGTACTTCGTCGATCTGCCTGTTCTGCTCTGCACTCTGTCTCTGGTGAGGCCTCTCGCCGCCCCTGAGCCTCTGGCCTGACCCCAGTTCTGTATGCACAAATAAATCTTATAAAAAAAAATATATATCCTTTACAACACCATGCTCCCTATCTCTTTCTGTTCCTTGAATTGTCCCTTTTAACTCAGCACTTTCGATATGAGTCTCCCAGCCTCCTCCCTTTGCAGTCTGTTAATAAATCCAAGGCCTGAAAAAAACAAAAACAAAAACATCTATTGTTGGCTAAATAACTCAGCACAATCAGAAAGCCGGGGGAAAGGAAACCCAGCTTGATGGCGTCCCCCTGTGCTGCCCCACTCGGGGTGCTTGTCTGTTTCTTCGAAGAGGCCACAGGAGTCAGGGGACTTTGTGGCCCATGAAAGTCCACTGGGCCATAGGAGAAGGATGCCCCCTAGGAGAGAGGGGAGAGGGTCCTAGGGTGGCCTCTCCATTTTTTTTTTTTTAAGATTTTATTTATTTTTGTGTAGAACTGGATTGTAGGCCAGAGGTGCGCGGGGTGAGAGGATTCACCAGAAACAGAGTGGGGAGCAGAACAGGCAGATCGACGAAGTACACTGCTGAGGGGAGCAGCGGGAAGGCCAGGAGAGGTCTGCCGCACCATGTGGGTCAGCTCCCTGGCCAGGGATGGAACTCAGGCCTTTGCACCAGTCCGCTGTGGTGATAACGCTGAGGCTCAGCCTCCAGGGCGCCCCTCATGGTGGTTATTGACAGAACTCCCTGCAGGGGCAGTGAGTGAGGCAGAGTTGCTCTGCTGGGGGAGCAGCGCCTCACCTGAGCGGCATTTCAGTGGGCTGGTCCTGAGGCCCCTCACCTCCAAAAGAAGTAGGTCAGCCTGCTCCCAGATCCAGTCCGCCTGCACTGCTGGCTTGCCCCTCCCCTTTCAGCTCCCACTTCTCATTAGAGCTGCTAGTTTCTAAGCGCTGGGAGGGTGGGGAGGGCTGTGCCTTTGTGTCACTGATTTCTGTGTGGCAGCACTCACAGCATGGCTGAACTAACGGCGGGATTTGACATTGCTGCTGCAAAATGTGCTTGGGTCACAGTGCTTTCCCCCTTCACGGGGCCTCCACCCCCCCCCAACTCCTGCACCCAGACGCGTTGGGGGTCTTGCCAGCCACAGTGTCTCTGCTGCTTCTTAGGAAAGAGAGGAAGTGAGAGATGCATTAAACACTTCAATCTCTGTGAGTGCCATTTCCCAGGGGGCAGACTGGAAGGAAGAGGTGGCTCACACACTCAGAACTCCCACAGGCAGAGGACTCGGAGTCCAGGGGCCCCATGTCACTGCTACCACCACCCTGGGGTCAGGGACAGTCACCCTCTAGACAATGATG